TTTCCCACACTGTTGTTGTCTGTGTCCATTGGTTATGCATATATGCATATAAGTTCTTTGGTTTATTTCTTCCCACCCCCAAACCCCTTCCCTTTGAGGTTTGTCAGTCTAGCAACCAATTCGTACTTCTTAATCCCTTCACCTTTTTCACCCATTCCCCCAAACCCCCTCCCACCTGGCAACCAACAAAATGTTCTCTATATCTATGAGAATATTTCTGTTCTGCTTGTTCATTTTGTTTGTAGATTCCATTGTTGCTAGATACGTATTCATTGCCATTTTGTTTGTTCATTTTTAAAATCTTTTTCTTCCAGAAGACCCTTCAACATTTCATATAATAATGGTTTGGTGGTGATGAACTCCTTTAGCTTTTCCTTTTCTGGGAAACTTTATATGGCCATTGATTCTAAATGACAGCTTTGCAGAATAGAGTAATCTTGGTTATAGGTTCTTGCTTTTCATCACTCTGAATATTTCTTGCCACTCCCTTCTGGCCTGAAAAGTCTCTTTTGAGAACTCATTTGACAGTCTTATGGGAACTCCCTTGTAGGTAACTAACTGCTTTTCTCTTGCTGCCTTTAAGATTCTCTCTTTGGCCCTGGCCGGTTTGGTTCAGCAGTTAGAGCATCGGCCTGCGGTCCTGAGAGACCCGGGTTCGGTTCCTGCTAAGGGCGCGTACCTCAGTTGCAGTTTGTCCCCGGCCCTGGTCGGTTGTGTGGGTGGCAGCCACTCGATGTGTCCCTTTCACATCGATGTTTCTCTCTCTCTCTCTGTTCCTCTCTCTCCCTCCCACTCTACCTGAACAAAAAATGGAAAAATGTCCTCTGGTGAGGATAAAAAAAAAAAAAAAAAAAGATTCTCTCTTTGTCTTGAACATTTTGCAGGTTGATGATGATGTGTCTTGGTGTGGGCCTCTTGGGGTTCATCTTGTTTGGGACTCTCTGTGCTTCCTGGATTTGTATGTCTGTTTCCTTCACCAAGTTAGGGAAGTTTTCTGTCATTATTGTTTCAAATAGGTTTTCTATTTCTTGTTCCCTCTCTTCTTCTTCTGGTACCCCCAAGATGCGAATGTTGGCATGCTTGAAGTTGTCCCAGAGGCTCCTCACACTATCCTCATTTTTTTTTGGATTCTTTTTGCTATTCTGATTGGGTGTTTTTTGCTTCTTTATATTCCAAATTGATAGTTTGCTTCTTGGCTTTACCTACTCTACTATTGAATCTGTGTAAATTATCCTTTATTTCAGTTAGTGCCTCCTTCATTTCTGACTGGTCCTTTTTTATGCTCTTGAGGCCCTCATTAAGTTCTCTGAGGTTCTCTCTACGTTCACTGAGCATCCTTATAAGCAGTATTTTGAACTCAGCATCTGTTAGGTTGTTTATCTCCATTTCGCTTAGTTCTTTTCCTGGGGTTTTGTTCTGTTCTTTCATGTGGGACCTGTTTCTTTGTCTCCTCATTTTGGCTGCCTCCCTGTGTTTGTTTCTACGTATTACTTAATGAGAGGTATGGGGCTAGCTGAGACCAGATGCTGTTTGTTTAAAAGAATTTCAGAAAACCTGAAGCAGGATCCAAGACAGGCCAATCCTATGGTTAAGCAACTGGCAACAGCTTGGGTGGGCCTGAAAGTTGGGTGGGGCGGGGCCTCAGGGAGTCACCAGGGCAGGGTAACCAGTGTGAGCCAGATTGCTGGAGTCCCAGATCTGGCGGCTGTCTGCTGCCTCAGGGAAGGGCTCACCAAAGGGACAAAGGCCTCTGACAGCATGTCTGTCCCAGAGAAAGCCCCCTCTCCAGCCCTCGCTCCAATGCCAAGCAGCTCAGTTCTTCCCTGTATGTCTCTGGTGCCCCTCGAGCTGCCTCCCCTCCAAGCTTAGAGGGAGTGAGTCCGATAAGTGTGTGCACGGGCCCTTTAAGAGGAGCTGCCTGGAGCTCCAGCTGCCTCGGCTTCCCTGAGTCTCAGTTCCCATTGGTTTTTCCAGCCAGAAGTTATGGAGACTTCTCTTCCTGGCACTGGAACCCTGAGCCAGGTGCCTGGTGTGGGTCCTCAGAGAGGACCTTTCCAGCCGAAGTAGCCTCCTGATTTTTATCCCCCAAACGTGGGTGTGGGACCAGCCCATCCACCTCCGCCCCTCCTACCAGTCTCGATGCAGCTGCTTCTTTAATTTTGTAATTGTAGGACTTCCATTCAGCTTGATTTCAGGCAGTTTTGAATGATGGTTATTCTGTAGTTTAGTTGTAACTTTGATGTGGTTGTGGGAGGACGCGATGCCTCGTTTACCTACGCCGCCATCTTGACTGCTATTTTCTAAATTTAAGACAAATTCTAGAATCAAAGTAGACAAGACACACTTTACATAAAATTTATAACATTTATTTAGGCAAAAAAGAAATTCCAAAACCAAAAATCTGTACACACAACATTAACACCTAAGTGATGTCCTGATTTTAAATATAGCATGATTCATGTACAGAACACTGCCATTCATCTGGCCACAGTAAGAACAGTGCCTTCAGTCCAGATAACTGAGAGCCTATGAAACATATACACATTATACTTTCCAATGAATTTTTCATATCTTTTGAAGAGAGTTAAACTCTTCCATCAGAATTCAAGCAAAAGATAGCTTTTCTCATGTTCACAAGTCAGAATTTGACAGTGAAAATTCTACAAGTCCGGGATTTGTAAATTTTATTCTTGCAGATTATCTGAGAGTATAAATCTTGATATAACATCCTCCTTCTATTTTGAATGGGAAAAAAACACTCTTTAGAATTCCTTGCTTTTATGAAAGTGTGTTCAGCTTCCACTAGCTAGGTAGCTTCTTACTTCTATGCTTATTAAAATAAGCTTAAAAGAACCCAGTTTGAACAGTTTTCCCAAAAGTGAATCCCAAATTGAGCACATACTATTAATGAACTAGACTCATAATTTCCCATTAAATAATTTTGATAAATTTGGTTTTTCTGAATATTGTTAAGTCATTCTGTCTAACTAAAAAGGTAGGTTGTGCTGTCAAAAAGAGCTCTGCTTCTTCCAGAGAAATGAGAAACAGCACTGATTTTCTCATAGTTTACCCCCAAAAATTGGGCAAGGGAAGAAACAGGCAGAGAAAGCTCTGTCTTAGGCTACCAATCAATTAACATAGAATATCTTGTCCTGGCCAGTTTGACTCAGTGGTTAAAGTGTTGGCCCGTGGACCAATTACTCGCAGGTTTGATTTTGGTTGGGGGCATGTACCTCGGGTGCAGTTTGTCCCTGGCCCTGGCTGGGGTCATGCGGGAAACAACCAGTCAGTGTGTCCCTCTCACATCAATGTTTCTCTCTCTCTCCCTCTCTCCCACTCTATCTGAAGATAAACAGAAAAGTATCCTCGGGTGAGGATTAAAAAACCAAAAACATAGAATGTCATAGGTTAAGATTTGGAAACTGGCCCTGGCGGGGTAGCTCAGTTGGTTAGAGCATTGTCCCAATATGCCAAGGTTGCAGGTTCAATCCCCAGTTAGGGCACATACAAGAATCAATCAATGAATGCATGAAGGAGCGAAACAAATAGATGTATGTTCCTTTCTCTCTCTCTTCTCTTTACCCTCTCTTTCTAAAAGCAATAAAACAAAAACAAAACAACAAAAAAAAGTGAAAGATTTGGAAACCAAAGAATGCATAATTAGGAGTGTACCATGCCATGCAAAGACTATGAAATACTAAAAGAGATAAAGCAATTACTCATTTAAAGCACATCCAGCAAATTTTTCTATCATACTGCTATTCTCATCACTGAATGAAGACTGGATTTGCATTATTCCTAAAATAAACAGTTCATGAGTTAACACTAAAAATTAAAAATGTGTCAATACAAAGCACATGGTAAAGATTCAACATCCTATATCCATACAGTCATTTGAAACTGCTATAATGAATTTGAGAGGGAAACCATACATTTGCAAATCTCTCTTTCTTTTATCCTCACCTGAGGACATTTTTCCATTTTTTGATCAGCTAGAGTGGGAGGGAGAAAGAGGAAGAGAGAGAAACATTGATGTGAAAGGGACACATCGAGTGGCTGCCACCCGCACAATCCAACCAGGGCCGGGGACAAACTGCAACCAAGGTACATGCCCTTCGCGGGAACCAAACCTGGGTCTCTCTGGACCACAGGCCGATGCTCTAACCGCTGAGCCAAACCAGCCAGGGCGCAAATCTCTTTGTAAACTGTCTTAGAATACTACTCTGAAGCCCTAGCCACAAAGTCCCAAATAAGTAACATACAGCTAAAACTGCCCACGTTAGCTGACAATGTGATAGTGCCTTTAAGTTATACCTTTAGTTTAATAATACTGTTTACTTTGAGATAAAAGTTGTATAATAACCAAACAATGTAAACATACTATTCCAGGACAGCAGAAGGGTGGATTTTCAACATACACAAAACAATAAGTTTGTTTTCCCTGTTACTCATGACCTCTTTGCAAACTTGGATACTGCTGCATATTGTTCTATGGCAGGGAAGGGGTTGTGGGTCATCCATGCATTTTGAAACATTAAGCCAAAATCATAGTTCATTAATCTAACCTACCCTAATTTAGCACATAAAATGGTTTCTTTCTTTTTTTAATCTTTATTATTGAAATATTACAGATTTTCCGTTCCCCTTTTCATAAAATGTTTTAATTAAAATGTGGTCCAAAGGCTAGAAGATGGCCTAGTGCTATTTTAATGTATGGTATAATAAAAAATACAGCCAAATGAAATTGAGGAGAAAAAGAACCAACTCAGCCCTGGCCAGTTTGGCTTAGCAGTTAGAGTGTCGGCCTGCGGACCAGAGAGTCCTGGGTTCGGTTCCTGCTAAGAGCACGTACCTCAGTTGCAGTTTGTCCCCAGCCCCGGTCGGGGTCATGTGGGTGGCAACCAGTTGATGTGTCTCACATCAGTGTTTCTCTTTCTCTCTTCCTCCCTCTCTCTCCCTCCCACTCTATCTGAAGATAAATGCAAAAATGTCCTCCGGTGAGGATTATAAAAAAAAAAAAGGCCAACTCAAAAGGTCCCGTTAGTAAAAGCAACTTCCTAGGCTGGATGTATAGGATTAATGTTTTTAAACATGAATCTTTAATTCTTTGGGTGTTCAAAATTAAAAGATAAAATTAAATTTCCACAGCAGCCTTATGGTGTTTCATTGCAACGTTGGGTAAATTCACTTGAGTTGACTGGTGCCATTAAACAACATTTCTGTTCAACAGTGAGGAGCAGCAACATTTAAGTCAATTCCTGAAACTGTGGGTCTGATATAATTTTTTAAATCCTCAACTAAGATCAGTAGCCCTTGGCCAGACTTGGCCAGAGGGTAAACTAACCCCATATTACCACTTGATTTGTGTTTCTTTTCAAATGCAAAAAAAAAAATTTTTTTTTAGAGTTCAAAGACCACCGCAAAACTTATTTGATGGAAACAATGAGATGGCTTAATTATTTTTGCATTAATTTCAGACTGTTCTTGTTTTACTCAATGATACCACAAATATACATCATTATACTCTAAAAAGTCTAATTCCATTTCCTTTAGATCTAACTCTTGCTGTTGCTAGTGGACCGATATAGTGATATTTTTACAGTATCTGAGTGTACCTATGATGAGCATGAGTGGTTCAACCCTAGTCTAAATTGTGCTTGAAACAGTACCTTTGAGCCACTGAAGAGATAACCCGTGAAGGCACCAAGTACTGTTAAATTCTATTACACAAATGCAAAAGGGAGGCCTAATAGATTCTTACTGTGGCCAGGCCAGTTATGCCTTATAATTTCGATATACACATCTACTATATTTTAGCCAGATTCAAGATCTAGAAACAATTCTGTGCCTTAATTAGATATACAATTTTAAGAAACATCCCAACAATAAAGGCACTACAATTTTTATATATTTGGGATGTGACCAATTATTTTGCTTTTAAGACTCAGAAGTATCTGGCCATCACCAGTACTCAAAGTGTAAATTAAAATAATTTTGTCTTTATCTATCAACAAATTATTCTGTGTAATGAAGAGATTTATTATTTTCTGTACATTTTTAGCCATTTCTGAAAATAATTTATTAAGACAAAAATCTAGAATTAGCCTGTAAGGAACATGCACTTTTGTCTTAAACACGATACAAGAGAAATTTGAAGACAAACTTTTCAAATAGGCTTTCCCTTAACTACATAAGCTAGGAGACCTGTAAGTGGTCAACATAGCTAGTAGTAACTTCCAAGCTACTGTAAGCTGTCCTATTTTCTACATTTTTGCTTTAAACATTAAAATTCAGAGAAAAGGGTAAAAATTTAAAAGAATTTTCCATTTCCTTTGAAATATGCTTAATCTGTGAAAATGTATCCTGTACCTATAACATTTTCTTAAATCAATTAAGTCAGAATTAACCCACAATTTTATTTGAACTTCAATAGTTCTAAAGACCTATTGTTTTTAGTTTAAATTTCATCCCTGTGGAGGAGTACCAAATGATTCAAGTATGATTACTGCAACAGTGGTACGAAATGTTTATGTCAAAAATGTTATCAGCATACTAATAAATCAGCTCCTTCCTAAATAAAAATGTTTCTGAATAATCACCATAATTTAAACATACCATTTAAAATCTCTATTGAAAACATTCTGGTCATCTATGAAAAACATGCAGTCATCTGAGATTGTGATTACCTTTATTTACAAACTAAAATTTTAAATGGGAATTACGTTTCTTGATGACTTGCTGCCTCCCGACTGCCATTATTAATCTAATGATAACTGATTCTTTACTATAGTGTAGCAGGTATCTTAAAGGAAAGGCAATTATCTAAAAAAATAATCCATCAAAAAGTATTTCCTTTTATGTACTCCAACTAGAATCACTACATTTAACAATGGTCTAATTCTTCTTGTTCATTTTTGGCAGTGAGGTGTGGACATCTTTCTCCAACACGAAAACATTAAGACACACATATTTTGAAACAAAAGAAATTTAACTTCTTGTGGCAAAATTGACTGTTGTTAATTGTATTCTAACTGAGCAGGTAAGATCATGTGTAATCTCTATTCCACTGAACAAAATGACTGAAATAGAGGGACAAGAATGGTCAGTTTTAACGTGACATTTTAAAAATTCACATTTTCACAACAATGTGACATATAGATTCAGACAATTAATTTTAACAGAGAATGCTGTAATATTTTACACTGTGATGCTTGGGGAAATATTTCTAGAGAGTAACCAGCAGTAGGAAGCAAAAGCCCATGCTTCCAGGAATAAATATGTAGAAGAAGCTACTGCTCACTGCCCTAGGAGATGTGGGCTCCAGAAGGATAGCCTACTCCAATTTAAAAACTATACCATAAGACCAGATCTTTTCTCAGTTCCTAAACTCTGTTCTCCCTTAATAGTTTTTCTTTTTAATATATTTTTCTTCCAGCCAGCCTGGCTCCAGCCAGTGAGTAGCCTTCCCAAGGAGAGGATTCAGATTTCCATTCTTTTACACTAAGAAGGGCATCTTATAAAAGGTACACAGAGAATAAAGGCATTTTATACAGAAGCAGTATAAAATTTACAACTGAAGAAGTGCCAGAAATCAGGGTAACAGCTTATCTGAAGCTGCAAACTGATTGGAAGGGTCTTTAAGATCAGAAAACCTGGCCTAAGAGTTCGTGCAAACTTTATCATAAAACTGTAGAATTTCAAGCACAGGTACGTTCAAACACTGAAAGATGTGGAAAATTTCCTAAAATGCAATGATGAAGGAAGAGACCCTTCTTGCCTCATAAGTTAAAAATCACAAAACAAATTAGAGACCGTTCACATGGGCAGTACTGTACATTATCAATCCCATACTGAACTAAGACTCTTGTCATAGAAACCCCAAAACATCACAGAGGGCAAAGGTACTCCAAATTAACCTATCACCAAAAGGAATTCTGTGATTTAATTATCCAATTGCCTATGGCTATCAATTTAGTCTGGCCTGGGGCTGCTTTTTACAGGGAGGTGGTCTCCCATGGCGTACAATGTGTTTCTCTAAGCTGTCCAGGATGGCCACAGCAATCTGTTGGACATGGGGATCAGTCTGTTCGTGTTCTTTGATATTGTATAAATGCTGCAATCCTCCTTCCTCAATCAGCATGCTGCAATACCTTGAGGCTGAAAGAAAACAAGATGAAAAGCTTTTCTTAAAACACCTAAAAATTATTTCACAAAATGAGTTCTTTTTTCACTTAAATTTTAGCTGTTTTGTTATTGACCACTAACATATGCTACGGCTTGATAAATACCTTTGTAATGATGTTATGTCTACACTGCAAGGTCCACACATAAATAATACACATACCATATATATATATTTACATTTACATTTACATGTGAATCATAATCTTAAGACATAGACAATCTGGAAAAAAGTTATTTGATCTCAAATAACAGGTAAGATAGGTGCTGTTACATTTTTATGCATTTCCTATTTTTTTATATATATTCTTTTTAAATTTTATTTTTAAATACAGTTTACATTCAATATTATTTTTAGTTTCAGGTGTACAACATATAGGTTAGACAATCATATACTTTTTAAAGTGTTCCCCCCTGACATTTCCAGTACCCACCTGACATCATACATAGTTATTATAATACTATTGACTATATTCCATATATGACTATACATCCCCATGACTACTCTGTAACTGCCAATTCATACTTCTCACTCCCTTCACCTTTTCACCCAGTCCCTCCACCCCATTTGTCTTTTTTTTTTATCCTCACCCGAGGACATTTTTCCATTTTTTGTTCAGATAGAGTAGGGGGCAGAGAGAGAAACATCGACATGAAAGGGATACATGGAGTGGCTGCCACTCACATGACCCAACCAGGGCGGGGGACAAACTGCAACCAAGGTACATGCCCTTAGCGGGAACTGAACCCAGGTTTCTCTGGATCGCAGGCCGACACTCTAACCGATGAGCCAAACCAGCCAGGGCTCATTTGTCTTTTTAAAAAATTTAATGGCACTGATATTGTACATTTAATTTTCTTTATTTCTAAATATTTTCTTTGCCTTTTGATTTGAAAATTTTTTGTACACATAACTTTTAAAGGTTTTCTTTGGTTTTAGTCAATTATTAAAGTATAATTTATACACAATAAAATGAAATAAAATTTAATCTACATTTTGCTGTATCATTCCAATGTATACACTTGTATAATCACCACCCCAATCAGGATATGGAATATTTTCTTTTTTTTTTTTTTTTTTTTTATCCTCACCCGAGGACATTTTTTGTTCAGATAGAGTGGGAGGGAGAGAGAGGAAGAGAGAGAGAGAGAAACATCGACGTGAAGGGACACATCGAGTGGCTGCCACCCGCACGACCAACCAGGGCCAGCGACCATCTGCAACCGAGGTACGTGCCCTTAGCGGGAACCGAACCCGGGTCTCTCGGGACCACAGGCCGACGCTCTAACCGCTGAGCCAAACCGGCCAGGGCAGGATATGGAATATTTTCAACAACTAAAAAGTTTCCTTGTGCACTTTTGTAGTCATTCTCCCCTGCATAATTCATCCCAGAAAACTATTGTTCTAATTTCTATAACATAGACTACTTTTGCCTGGTCTAGAATTTCGTGTAATTGGAATCATATAGTATGTATTCTTTTATTATTTACTTTTGTTCAGCATGATGTTTTTGAGATGCATCCATGTTGTTATGCATATGTAATTGTTTTCTGTTTTAGGCTGGGAATTATTTCATTGCATTGAATATACTACATTTAAAAAAAGTATTTATTTATTTATTTAGAGAGAGAGAGAGAGAGAAACATCGATTTGTTGTTCCACCCATGCATTCATTGGCTACTTCTTGTATATGCCCTGACTGGGGATTGAGCCCAAAACCTTGGTGTATAAGGATGATGTTCTAACCAACTGAGCTACCTGGCCAGGGCTGAATATACTACATATTTTTTCTTGTAAATCCTCACCTGAGGATATTTTTTTCATTAATTTTTAGAGAGAATGGAAGGGAGAGGAAGAGATAGAAACATTGATGAGAAACATCCCATCTATTGCCTCCTGAATGGCCCCTCTGGAGATTGAGCCCACAACCAGGGCATGTGCCCTGACCAGGAATTGAATTGGAGACTTCCTAATGCATGGGACAATGTTCAACCAACTGAGACACACTGGTCAGACTATACTACATATATATATATTTTTTAATCCTCATCCGAGGACATTTTTCCATTTTTTGTACAGATAGAGCGGGAGGGAGAGAGAGGAAGAGAGCGAGAGGGAAACATTGATGTGAAAGGGACACATCGAGTGCCTGCCACCCGCACGACCAACCAGGGCCGGGGACAAACTGCAACCGAGGTACATGCCCTTAGCGGGAACTGAACCCGGGCCTCTCTGGACCGCAGGCGGACGCTCTAACCGCTGAGCCAAACCGGCCAGGGCTATACTACATATTTTTAATGTTATTATACTGATTTATATTTGTTGGATTGTTCCTAACCACTACCCCTCCCCCCATTTTGTTACAGTGACTAAAAATGATATAATCCTTGTTCAAGTTTTTTGGTAGACTTTTCATTTCATTGATTTTGGGGAAATACCTGGAATGCTGGGCAAATGATAACTGTATGCTTAACTTTATAAGAAATCACTAAACTATTTTCTAAAGTGGTTATATAATTTTTCCATCTCATTAGCAATGAATGTGAAAGTTGTTAGTTGTTTCACATCCTCGACAACACTCATCCTTGTCCATCATTTTGATTATAGGCAGCCTTCCTATTAGGTGTAAAGTGGTATTTCATTGTGGGTTTAATTTATATTTCTCTAATGACTGATGATGTTGAGCTTCTTTTCATGTGATTATTGGCAATTTATATATTTTCTTTGGAGGAATGTCTATTCAGATCCTTTGCCCATTTTTAAACAGGTTTATTATTTTTTTATTAGAGACGTAAGAAGTCCTTATATATTCTGAAAACAAGTCCTTCATCAAATATATAATTTGCAAATATTTTCAACCATTTTGTGAGTTTTTTCACATTTTTTCTTTTTTTAAAAAAAAGTTTTTTCACTTTCTTGTTGTCTTTTGAAGTAAAAAAGTTAAAAAATTTTTTTATACATCCAGTTAAACTAGTTTTTCTTTTGTCCCTTATGCTTTTGGTGTCTTATCTAAGAAGCCATTGCTTAACTCAAGATCATAGAGATTTATACCTGTTTTCTTCTAAAAGTTTTATGTGCTTATGTTTATGTAAATGTAGCTCTTACATTTAAGCTTATAACTCATCTTGAGTTAATTTTTATATATAGTATGAAATAAGGGTTCAAGTTCTTTCTTTTACCTGTGCCTACTCAGTTTTCCCAGCACCATTTGTTGAAAAACATATTCTTTCCACACTGAACTGTCTTCACACCCTTGTCAAAATCCAGCAGAGCCCTGGCCAGTTTGGCTCAGCGTCGGCCTGCGGTCCAGAGAGACCAGGGTTCGGTTCCTGCTAAGGGCATGTACCTCGGTTGCAGTTTGTCCCCGGCCCTGGTTGGGTCGTGCGGGTGGCAGCCACTCGATGTGTCCCTTTCACGTCGATGTTTCTCTCTCTCTCTTCCTCTCTCTTTCTCTCTCTCTCCCTCCCCACTCTATCTGAACAAAAAATGGAAAAATGTCCTCGGGTGAGGATTAAAAAAAAAAAAAAATCCAGCAGAACACAGTTACATAGATTTATTTTTGCATTCTCAATTCCAGTGCATTAATCCATATGTCTATCCTAATGATGGTGAACATCTTTTTCTTAAAAAAATTTTTCTTTCTTTATTGATTTTTAGAAAGAGAGGAAAAGAGAGGGAGAGAGAGATAGAAATATTGATGAGAGAGGAGTTACCCACAGGACCTGTGGGGTGCTGAAGCACCAGAGAGGCCTGTGGGACCCAGAAGCTCATAACATAGGCATAGAGCCGGATCCCCAAAGGGACTGTGCAATCCAGTTACCCACAGAACCTGCAGGGTGCGGGGGCATCAGAGAGGCATGTGCGACCCAGCTGCGCACAAGATAGGCATAGAGGATGTGAAAATGGAGATGGAGTGAATGGAAGCTACACAAACAATCCCCGAAGAGGAAGAAAATGGGCAGGGTTAGAGAATATATTTGAAGAAATAGTGACAGAAAACTTTCCTAACTTGGTGAAGGAAGAAGGCATTCAAGTTCAAGAAGCACAGAGAGCCCCAAGTAAGAAGAACTCAAACAGGCCCATACAAAGACACATAGTAATTAAAATGCCAAAAATTAAAGACAAAGAGAGAATCCTAAAGGCAGCAAGAGATAAGCAACAGATTACCTACAAAGGAAACCCCATAAGGCTCTCAGCTGACTTCTCAACAAAAACACTCCCAGAAGGGGGTGGCATGAAGTAATCAAGGTCATGAAAAACAAGGATCTGAATCCAAGACTACTCTATCCAGCAAGGCTATCATTCAAAATAGAAGGTCAAATAAAGAGCTTCCCAGACAAAAAGGCTAAGGGAATATATAAACACCAAACCAGCACTGCAAGATATGCTAAAAGAACTGCTGTAATTAGTAGAAGAAATAGGAAGAAAAATATAACCACAATAAACAAAAATGGCAATAAATAAGTACATATGAGTTATCACCTTAAATATGAATGGTTTGAATGCTCCGATAAAAAGACACAGAGTAGCTGACTGGATAAGAAAGCATAACTCACATATATGTTGTTTACAAGAGACCCACCTGACAACAAAAGACTCACATAGGTTGAAAGTGAAGGGATGGAAAAAATCTTTCAAGCAAACAAAAAGGAAAAAAAAGCTGGGGTAGCAATACTCATATCTGATAAAGTAGATTTCAAAATGAAGACCATAACTAGAGACAAAGAAGGCCACTATTGAAAGGATCTATCCAACAGGAAGATATAACCTTGGTAAACATATATGCACCCAATGTAGGAGCACCAACATATATTAAAATTCTTCTGGAGGACTTCAAAGGAGAAATCAACAGCAATACAATCATAGCAGGGGACTTCAACAACCCACTGACATCACTGGATACATCCTCTAGACAAAAAATTAACAAGAAAAAATAGACTCTAAATGAAGCACTAAGTCAAATGGATTTAAAAGA